GGCATCCCAGTCTTAGTCTATAGGGTTCAATATTGAGTTGGCTCACCCTTTCCCGCTATAACAGCATCAACTCTTCTGGGAAGGCGTCCACAAGATTTAGGAGTGTGTCTATGGGAATATTTGACCATTCTTCCAGAAATGCATTTGTGAGGTCAGGTACTGATGTTGGACAAGAAGGCCGGGCTCGCAGTCTCCGCTCTAATTCATCCCAAAGGTGTTCTATCGGGTTGAGGTCAGGACTCTATGCAGGCCAGTCAGGTTCCTCCCCCCCAAACTTTTCTCAAAGTATCACCCTAAACGTCCCCTCCGCTCATCCATTGACCTCCTGCTTTCCAGCTCCCTTGTCCACTCCTCCCATACTAGCCTCCAGGACTTCTCTAGAGTCTCTCCCATCCTCTGGAACTCCTTACCCCAACCTGTCCGTCTATCTCCCACCTTGACTGCCTTTAGGCGTTCCCTAAAGACTCATCCTCAGGGGCAGGGCCCTCCTTACCATCTTGTCTTGAATTGTATTGTAACTGTAATGTCTTCCTTATATTGTAAAGCGCTGCGCAAACTGTTGGCGCTATATAAATACTATGTAATAATAATAATGTACTATTGCTGGGATTAGTAGTCCTCCATAGCTGGTGGTATTCTCCATTGCGCTGTATAATGATTATACTGCACAATGCAGATTACCACTGACCAGTTATAGAGGAACTACAAATCCCAGCAATAATACATTATACAGCGCAATGGAGAAGAGGAACACCAAATCCCAGCAATAATACATTAAACAGCCTGTATAATGTATTATTGCTGGGATTTGGTGTTCCTCTATAGCTGCTAATGTTCAGCAGTGTGTCACTGTATTATACAATGTAGAACACCATGTACAATGCAATGCAGAAAATGAATGTATAATACACCGGCACACTGCTGAACACCAGCAGCTATAGAGGAACAACAAATCCCAGCAATAGTACATTATACAGGCTGTTTAATGTATTATTGCAGGGATTTGGTGTTCCTCTATAGCTGCTAATGTTCTGCAGTGTGCCGCTTTAAAAAAAAAACAACACACAGGAAACATTAAAAAGCTCCCGGCCGATCTCGACTTACCTTGAATGACGGTGTTGTCGGCGGGCAGCGGCGTTGTTCGTTGTCGGCATGCAGCGGCGAGTCGGGAAGCTCACCGGGAGGAGAGGGCCGGGACGCATGTCCTCAGCGTGGGCGCGGCGGCGCGTGAGCGGGTATACCAGCGTAGGCGCGAGTGGCTTAACTGACGGGGAGGCGTAAGCGGCGTGCATGAGCGGCGAGCGGGAAATTTTAATTTTAGCCGACGAATCGACGATGGAAAAATTTGACAACGTTTTCCACCGTCGATTTTAATCGACTTAATCGAATAATTGTTGCAGCTCTAGCTTGTTCACATCGAATATGGTGCTTTCCAGAGCGGTAGATACTGAAATGCACCGCAATCCATCACAAAACTTCCCTCTGCGTTCTGGGGCGTGGCGGTGCATTGAATTCAATGGCACCGCTTCCACACCCCAGCCCCCCCCCTGCCCGCAGTGCAATCGGATGCATGGCAAAACTGCCTGCGTTCCGTTCCACTGCAAACACAAAAAATAGAGCAAGCCCTTAACCATATGGCCGCATTTCTTAATGAATTTGTAGCACCCATAGCGCCAGAATGTTACGTAGTGTACATAAGAACTTCCTGAATTTGTTGCACACTTTGCAAATAGTAGGAAAACGGATTCAGGAGTTTGGAGCAGGACTTTCTAACACGGCCACAACACTAGAAAAGCACCACAAAAGCTTTACTGAATCACCCTTTGTATTTCTACCAGGCTTTATTTTGTCATCTTTTTGTATTATATGGTCATTTCCAGTGGAAAAAAAGTCCCATGTGTGCAGTCATTGGCACCCAGAACATTCAAAACCAGCCAAAGGGTAAAAAAAGTGCTTTTTATTTGGCCCCATATGCTGACAGCACAGACAGGGCCGGCCTTAGGCCTTTAGGCGCCCTGTGCGAGAAAGCTTTACAGCGCCCCTCAGTGACCACACCCCTCAGTGGCCACACCCTCAGTAACCACACCCATTTATTACCCATATTTTTGGTAAAATATAAAAAGCGCGGTCACGTCGGGTAAATAGACACCAAACATGTCATGTTTTAAAATTGCGCGCACCCGCAAAATCGCAAAAAATTACCATGCCCAAAATTGACCATTGGTGATCCTTTAAAAGCTTTTTACCGCTCATCAGTTTAGTGTTATCAGTGATTGATGGCCCTACAATGATTGCTCTCATTCCGACATTCGCGGTGATATGTGACATGTGCGGCGTATGATGATGAAATAGGATCGGAGAAAAAATAAAAAAAATCGGGGAGATATAAACCAGAAAAACGAGAAGAGTAACTTTAATCTCTCTACACACCCCTTCTCCCTCCTGACCATGCACCATCCTCCAATGCTCCACCTAATCCGTACATCTTGAATCACAAAATGGCTTTGTGCCCTTTAGATAACCTGAATGTGAGCATTCAAATATTGGCATCAAGTCTACTATCAGGATGTGCAACCCTGAATAGAATAGGTCACTTATTCAGTGAGACAATAAAGCTGTGTATGTAGGGCTCAATGTCAACTCCATCCAACTAAACCAAGTTGCATGGATTTCCCCTCCAATATATTCACAATACAGTCAATTATTATGGATAATATATCAGTTGATATATTGTATTTTGAAGAGCAACACTGCAGAAGTGCCAAATAAAGTCCACTCTATCTAAGGCCCCATTCACACCAGGGCGGAAGCATTTCAGCTCGATTTTTGAAAGGGCGTTTTTAATTGCGTTTCAGCACTGCAACCTAATTAAAAACGGCCAAAACCGAGCGTCTCCATTGCAATCTATATGGAAAACGTGCTGATCAGTGCAAACAAAAGGAACTCAGGGAGCATTTTGAACAGGTGGTTTGGATCGCGCAGAGCCGCACGATTGCATGAACGGTCCCCATAGGAACGTATGGGATCATTCATGTCGGCGGTTCAGCGCAGACAAATCCACGCGACCGAACTGCCCTGGTGTGAACAGGGCCTAAACCAGCCATAATCCCAGTGGTGTATTTTGGATTTGTGCTGCCTTAGGCATGACTAAACCTGAGCTCCCCCCCCAATCTATGTGCCCCACCCCTTACTGTTCAAGACATTTTGCATAACCCCTTAGTCGCTGCATACAGCAGTTTGTACCACTGTATTAAATGCATCAACAAATGTTCTTTTTTGTTTTGTTTTACACTCATTTTTTTGCTTTGTAACACACTTTTTTCTATATACAATTCTGTCTATAGAGAAAAAATGAAAATACACATAATTTCAATAAGTTATTTTTTATTTCATAAAGAATTCTAAAACAAAACCTGAAAGACTGTACGGTAAATACTGAAGGAACTATAATTCCTAAGCAGGTTACATATATAGTACATGCTGCTGTCAGAGTAGTGGCACACAAATACCTTTTCTAATTATTTCTAGTACCTTTTGACAGTAAATATTTTACGTTTCAATGACAAAGGCAGATCGAACCAAAAAAACAGCTTAACAATAAAACATGCAAAAATAAATGATGATTTTACACCCAATGACCAGTAATGTTGCCTCACAGTAAACGATCTACTCATTAAGATAGTTTTACCCATCTTCTTGTGAATTACAGTACTGAACTATTGAAAGATAAGCTAAAAACTACCATAAGAAAAACAAAAGCAAAACATTCCCAAGAACATGTGGTCATTTATTTCCACTAATATTGTTTCTCATAAAATTATGAGAATTACACTGATTACACGTGTATGTATACAAAATTATAAACTGATGTTGTTTGTTATCCTTTAATACTAGTTCCAACAAGGAAAGGCCAACAAACTGCAGAATAATAAGAAAAATAAGGCAAAAAAATCTAATCATTTCAGTAACAGCATATGTCCTACCTTGCTGCAAGCACCCTCCAAATACATAACACAATTCTCACCAAATGAATGTCTACCATTATTTTAGGGGAAGTGACAGTAGGTAAAACACACAAAAAAAGGATGCAAGTTGTGCTTAAGGCATATCTAGACCCAAAACAAAAATGTGATAAATTGCAGCTTTATCATCCCTTAGATCCCTTGGATGTCACTTTCTGTAAATGAAACAACACACATTCTATACCTGTCGTGTGTAAAGTACTAGTCTCATTTATCAGCTATGTAATGGAGATGAACAAAGACATACATGTCTGAAGTCCCGCGTGTGTGTGAGAGAGCCACATTTCCAATGAGGAAATGTGGAGAAAACGAATGCAGCCACCCAGTGGCGTCACAAGGGGGTGCGGCCCGCACCCGTTTGACACCATTGACTGACAGTCATTTTGGTGTCACCCCCTCTAAAAAGTCGGGCACTCGGTCATGGACCGAGAGCCCGACAGTGTCAGGAGAGAGGAGGGGACCCGGCAGCATTCCTCATCCCGCCGGGTGAACGTCCCCTCCTCTCTCTGCCGGCGCCCATCACCAAGATGGCCTCCAGCAGGCGTCAATGAGATGACGTCATCACGCATGTGCGACGATGTCACGGCGGGGTGTCACCCAATCTCTGCTCCGGGTGACACCCGGCCTCGGGGACGCCCCTGCAGCCACCACATTTAAGGACTGGTGAGCTGCAATATGTTACATTTTTGGGTTTAGATATGCTTCAATGTTGTGAAAGATGGCAGTATGCTTAGAGGCACCCACTAATAACATTGATAAGCTAGAAGATAGGAGATCTGAGCCTGGTTGCCAGACTATACTGGCAGTGGTACCCACCGGGAACTATTAGGAATCATGGAATATTATATCATATTTTAGTTCTGCATACACTACCCAAATCCAAAGTGGTAATAGAGATAAGCCAATTCAAATACAAAATAGAGTTATTATACTTGAATTGTCTGTTCATGCTTTTATGTTTCAGTTAAAACCAATGAGCAATGGTTATACTAGAGATAGAAGATAATAAATAAGAATACATTGATTTGTACTCTCTGAAGCAGCTAGGCAGAAGCTAAAGAATGTCATCTTGTTGGTCCAGCCAGCAAAGAAGCCTGTGAATAGTTCCTTTGATCTCCTAATGGTCATGAGATGAGAAGTCAACAGCGACGAGATAATTATTGTCATTGTACTGTGATTGAAGATTTCAATAGGCATCCTTGGAATTCACCAAAGACTAGTGTGAAATATCCCGATTAGCACTCAGCAAATATGGCAGCTCATACTTGACATGTTTTCCAAGTCACAACTCATTCAGTGTTCAATAACATCTTCAAAGCCAATCATGGGTAATTCATAAGCCCTGGTGTTCACACTCTGGTTTGCCTATTTTTTATTGAACTGCTTTTTAGAATGTGTGTTCCAGGTATGAATTATTACTGCTGAACAAAAGCAGAAAACTAGTTTCTACAACAATGACAGCAACTAAATGGGTGACCAAATAAAAAGTCACAGGTCATCAGTACACCCCAATCTCCTTACAAAAACAGGCTTCATTAGAACAGATGCAAGAAGCACTGTTTACATGTTATGGACAAACGTGTCCTCAGTCATACCGAGATATGCGGAGTACAAGTGTACTAACAACTGTAATATAAATAACATTTTTTTTAAAGGTGGACG